GTACCAGCCTCTAAGAGGGAGGTAACTCAGGCTCCACAAGGGAAAAGAAAAAAAATATATAATAAAGTCCTCTGAGAGGGAGGTATTCAGTTCAGTTTATAATCACGGTGTCGTTGGGAAACTTGCAAACTCTCACGTCCCGATGATTGCGCACAAGTGGTACGAGCACTCGAGTCCATCAGTAAGCAAGATAAGTTCAAATAGTAAAACACAGACAATAAAACTTTGATAAGACATCATAAATCAGCATAAGCAGTTCATACATATCTTTCATGTGAACTTTCAATTATTTTACGAGTAATAGTTCCTACTTACAGAGCGAAAGCTCATTTCAAAGTATTTATATTGTAGGTAAGCAACCTGCACATAATGTTTGATGGACTAATGGTGAGGCAACGGACGAGCGGAGTGGAGGTTGAGAAATGGATACCGCACGCAATTATTTCCGCAACAGTTTAAGGATTTAATAAAGATTTATGTTGAATATGTCTATGAACTTGTGTTTTGAAAGTTTACAGTATGATTGTTCAGTTCGTGTAAGCTAGCAGGATTTTGAGAAGCAAAAATATAACTGTGTAAATTCAAGCTTTAGAAAAGAAATTATTTTTGAAGTATGAACACTTTGCTATGTTTAAAAAGTGGAAACCAGAATTTGTGTCATTACAGTAAGTTTTAAAAAAAATGATATAGTTCTTTAAGAGAAAAAAACTTATGCTCAGAATGCTACAACATTCTATACAACATTTTGAAGAAAATACTACAGCATTCTATATAGCATTTTAAAAATACAATGCTGCAGCATTTAGACTGCATTTTTAAAAAAATGCTGCAGCATTCTAGGTAGCATTTAAAAAAAAATTCTCAAATTTTGGGAGTTTCAGAAAACATATGTTAAAGTTAGTTACAGTGACAGCCAACTCAGCAGGGTCGTCTGACGATCGACCAGTGATGACTAGGAGGCAGAGACCCAATGCTTGTCAAAAAATGACTCGTACAGGGCCTGAAAAACAAAGGAGAAGCGAGAAGGAAAATTCAGCATCGCCTCAACTTGGGCGTCAGAAATATCCTGGACCTGGAAGTTCGGGTCCATAACCTTCACCCCGGGAAGCAGGAGGCGACCCTTAGGTAGGGGAGGAACCTCAGTGACGTCGGGAATAGGAACCACCGGCGTCCAAGTCTCCCCAATCACCCATACTTCCTCTTTACATACCCTTTTCAGGTGCGGATGCCTCCGACGTAGACCTTAAGGCACCCTCAGAAGGCATCTTCTTCTTGGAGGCCGAAGAGGAAGCGCCAGTATTGGCTTTCCCCTTCGACTTAGGTTGACTGCCGGAAGGGAGCTGGATGTTCAAAGAAGCCATTTCTGTACATGAACTGAAGAAGTTAAGGGAAAAAGGGTCGACTTACCGTAGGAAGCACCAGAACATGGGTTTCCAGCCGTGGGAGGAAAAAAGAATACTCTGGATCAATTTACCTAAAACGGGCTTCGATCGCCCGTGACTACCTAAAAAATACCACCATTCGCACTTCGCGACGTGGCTTAACTTATATATATACAAAAACTCGTCCAAAGGCAAATCCACATCAAACCGCTGACTCCACAGAACCCAGACACCGACGAAGTAGTACCAAAAGTTCGGCGCTGGTTGGGCTGGGGAGATGCCATGGTAATGGCAAAAATCCTTCACGAAGGGATGGATTGGTAAGGTTATTCCTACGGTAAATGCCCGAGTGTACACTGAAAGATACCTGGGACAAGGAAGGCTAGACCTAAAGTTTATATCTGGGAGAAGGTATTCAAATCATCTCTCGTCTATGCATCCGTCTCTAAACGCCCAGACGATGTCTCTGTTCTGAGTCCTCGGCTTCATCAAGTCAATAGTAAATGATGGCATGTCTGGGTCCCCGCTCATAACGGCCAAAGGAGCTTCGACAACTGAAGCAGCGGCCCTAAACACTACTCCACCTTCCAGAGGAGCTTCGACAACTGAAGCGGCGGCCCCAAACACTACTCCACCTTCCAGAGGAGCTTCGCCGCCGTCATCTCCTTCAACCATGAGGTCGACACTGTCGGCATCGTCCCTTGGGTTGGCTGCATAGTTGTCAACTTCCCTCAGAACAGAGTCATCACCCGATGAAGAAGACGTTCATGAGGGCTCAGCGGCAGAAGGAGAGTCCGGCCTCACAACAGACGAAGAAGGACCCTCTCGACGGTTAGATGGTTTGGGAGCCATTGTTTTGGTATAACAAGAAAAGAAGGATAATATGAGCTAAGTTAAAATCCTAAGTCGAGAGGGTAAGGGTAAGCAAGAAAAAAGAGACGATCGTTCAAGCCGAAGGCATATGAGCGCCGATGGTTCATAAAGTCGTCGATCATTCATAAAAGAAGAACGACGAATGTTCAAATGGAACCCATATTTTCTAGCCAAACACCCCTAGTCCAGAACCTCAAAGTCTTGATAGTCAACCAAAAACCAAAAAAACTAGTCTATTAAAGCCCCAAACATACGCGAAGTAAATTTTTAACCTCCTGAACATCTATTTCAAGCCTAAAACAGGCAACAATCCAGCGAAAACCAAGCAAGGAAAGCAAAAAAGGCGCAAGGAAGTATGCATAAACGCGATTGCAACGAGAAGACTTACCGGAGGCTTAAAGGATGGCAAAATCTGAAGATTTAACTTGAAATGGCTTCACGAGACACCAAATGAAGCGAGCGAAGCGGAATAAAGGGTACTAGAAAAATCTGGGCAGAATAATGATAGTTCTCAGGGATATGGATGGAAATGGTCTCGGTTTAAAGCAGACTTATAAAGGGGAACAAACCCTCGACCCCTGGCCGTTGGATGGAATCCTAGTGAATCCAATGGCGGGGGCAATCGGTCAAGACCGAACGATAATGACAAAGGCGGGAGACTAGACAAACGCGATCGGACGGTTCTGAATCCTCCATTCAAAAAATGTGAAACGTCAGCAAAATGATGAGCTGAATCGACGTGACTGTTAGCCTTCCCAAGAAGCTGCCCTAACGTCAGTCATTATTGCCTAGGGGCTCCAGGCTGGCACCACCTATGACAAGTCATCACGTGTGCAAAGGCTCCAAGCATGAGTTGCCTGTGAAGGTCGACAGCACCTGAAAGGTAGCCTCGACCAGAGGGGGGCAATTGTTGTGGGGTAAAATCTTAAGCCCCACACAGAGCAATGATTGGGCACCACGTGGCATGATCGAAGGATAAACTAATTTAACAAAGATACGGAGTAGCGGTAGAGCGCATCGGATGAACGTCAACCCTTAGCGGTCAAGTATTCCCGTTAAAAGAATTGACTAGAAGGAACAAGAGCCAAACCGTGAAGACAATCGCTCCACTGGCCATGAACGAAGAGCGCTTCCAGGGAGCCGAAGGCGACGAATCCACACACATTGAGGTTGAAGTACGATTGTGCCAGGATTTGACATGCATTAAATGCATGCATATTAGGTAGTGAGGCCGGTGGAGAAAATCAGGGAGATTGACTGAAGTCTCGGTGATCAGAGATTACTGTTCCAGAGTGGGGAGAAGATATCACGAGATTTGATTAGATTGTTAACAACTGGCAAATACAATACGATGTATATAAGCAGAACGAATGGGTTGAAAAGGGATCGGATTATTGAACACCCTTTCTCCAGAATTTGTATTTTTCTCTACCAAGAATAGTGAAAAACTCAGTGGATGTAGTTCTACGTTGGAGTGAACCACTATAAAATATGTGTTGATTTTGTTTCTTTTTCTCTCGAATGATTCACGTTTAGAGTAGTTAATCCGAACACACATTACCAAAAATCTAGTATTAATCTGTTGATAAGTTTTTACCGTTTGGTAATGATATGAAACAAAAAATCTACTCACAATACATAATTCCGAACCATCGAATCTCAATCAGATTTAAAACTATATTAGATTAAGTTAACTATGACAATGTTATAAAACATAGCATCTCGTGATTTCAAATCACGAGGATCTTCTGTACTGAACAAAATTCTGCAGAAAAAGGGAGAGAGATGTTTTAGACTTTTAGTTAGCAGTAAGATGGAGACTTGAGAAGGGACGAAAACATCTGCAAAGTGCAAACTACAAATCATGTTGCATGTGTAAGGCTATGCTCCCAAACCATTTTGCACATGCTTTGTCTACAAAAACCGAGGCAATGCAGGCTAGGAGAGGCCAGAGAGGGAATATTTTTATTTATTTATTTATCTCAACATATATGTAGTTTTTTTCTTCTGAAAAAAAACAAATATTATGTATATAGCCCACTCACTCTTTCGTTTTTCGTGCAAACTCACTCACTATTAAAAATTATGAATATATGCTCTCATCAAATGCAATTTGAAAGTTAATAAATTAAAACTCAAATGCTTTAAGTGAGGAAATAGAATATACCCTGTCGTGTTGTCCTTCAGATAAGATATATTGTTCTTCTGATAGGACATTCAAACTTAATATTTTTTCAGAAAAACACATTCAAACTTATAATAGCCATCCTCTCTTTGATCGGAGAAAAGGAGTAGGAAGGATTGAGAGATCTAATGGGTGGGAAAGATGAAGAAGATTATAATAATCTTTTATGCTGTTTAGTAAGAAAAAGAGTTAAAAAGATGAATTATAATTCTCTGCTAAATTACTATATCGTCTGTGTATATTATTTGATAATAATTTATTTAGAGGTGAAATAGTCCTTTAGAACTCAAAGTTGATGGATTGCATGAATCCTTCTAGTAATGGAAGAATTCAATTTGGTGGGTCAAGAAAGAGACTACCTCCCTCCTCTACTTTCCCTCCAACCAAACAAGAGATTAGACTTCTCCCTCTACTCTCTCTCCTACCACACTTACTCTTAGCTAGAAAAAATAATAATAATAACGATCAAAGTAACTAAGAGAAGGGGAAGCTCGACATCAGAGAACTGCGAAAAGAAGAATGGAACAATTTTAGTGCTCATAATTCATAAAGTGGTCATAATTCATAAAGCAATTTTTTCAAAGTAAGATGATATTATAGAACAAAGAAACCAAAGGCAGAAAAAATTAAATACACATTTGGCTATGTATGATTAATATAGAAGTAAGTTTTACATCATCTAGAAGTTACTCAATTTCCCATCTGCAAGTCTCATTTCAACTATACAACATCAGGCAGCTCAGTTGTGTTGAACAAATATATAGTTCTCAGCTCTAAATACTATATCTCTGGCAGTGAATCTCAAGAAAAACAAAAAATAATCTACACAATACATCTCTTTTCCTGTCCCTGTCAAAACGATCTACAACATTGGCATAGAAAAAAGAGACCATGACTGGGATGCACATACCAGAGTGGTGCAGTAGAGAATGCCAACAACCTGTGATTTCTGTTGACAGAGGATGATTTACCTATGACCATTTTTTTGCTATACGTTCTAATAATCTGGACTCCTCTTGCTTTGGAACATGTGGATCGAGGTTGTTAAGCTTACTAACAAACATCTTTGCCTCATCTTGCCGACCGAGCTTACAGTACCAATCTACGATGGAGTTGTACGTGTTTTTGTTTGGCTTACAGCCATGCTTGATCATGTAACGGATCACGTCAACAGCTTCAACGAACAACGAATCAGCCGCATAACTTGCAATAAAGGTATTATAAGTTATTACATCCGGAACTATCCCAGAATCTTTCATTTCTGAGAATATCCGGGAAGCCTCTCTTATACGACCATTTCTACAGTAGGCATAAATGACGGTGTTGTAAGAAATAGTATCAGGCTTCATACCCTTCTCCAGGATCTCCCATAAAAATTTTTCTGATCTTTCAAAATCTTCAGACCGAGCATACATGTACATCAAACTGTTGTAAGTTGTCAAGCTTGGAGTGAACCCACTCTCATTCATGAAGCTCAGAATCTCATAAGTCTTGTTGACCATCTGCCTCCTTCCATAAATTGACAGCATGGCGTTTAGAGCAGTTATGTCGGGTGAAAATCCTCTTTTACTTAATTCCGAAAAGGCACGTTCTGTTTCGCTCAGAAGGTCACTTTTACTGCAAACTAGAACAAGGGTCTTCAAGAGCACAGCATGTGGTTCGATAATCCCGGAGTATATTTCTTCAGCAAGAACAAGCACCTGATCAATCTCTTTGCCATTGGCATAAGCATGAAGCAAAGAAGAATAGGAAAGCTCATTGGGTTTACAACGACCATCCTTCATTTCAGCAAGTATTTTTTCAGACTGTTTCCAAAGCCCTCCCCGAGCCAGTGCTGCCAAAACAGCATTGTAGGTTGACAGATCCGGGGTAACACCAGCTTCCAGCATCCTCTCATAAACTTCCATGGCTTGGTCAAAAGAACCACACCTGCTATATGCACTGATTAAGGTGTTAAACGTGTCCCGCTCTGGTACAAACCCTGCCCTCTTCATCTCCTTGAACACTCCGGACACTTCCGAATCCATCCCATTTTGGCCAAAGACTGCCAAAAGTGTATTCCAAGTGACAATATCCGGTGTACATTTAGAGGCTTTGATCTCGTCAAATATTTTCATCATTTCCGCAAAATTTCCCCGATTACCATGCATCTTAATCAAAGCATTAAAGGTACAGATATTCGGTTTGCAGCCCGCACTTCTCATCTCTTCAAAAACTTTCATCGCAAATTCATCTTTCCCAGCCTTCTCAAACCCCGACAAAAGGGTGGTGAAGGTAAAAACGTCAGGCTTAATCCCTCTCTCCATCATCTCAGTCTTCAATGCCATGACTTCATCCAATAACCCATCTCTCGAATACGCCGATATCAACGAATTGTAAGTCACAACACTAGGAGAAAACCCATTAACCTCCATCTCCCTCAACACCTCGACCGCTTCTTTAGTCCGCCTACACTTCCCGTACACATCCAACAATGCATTATAAGTAACCTTATCAGGTGTAAACCCAGCCACCTTCATATCCTCAAAAACCTTAACAGCTTCCTCATACAAAGACCCGCGTCGACAACAACTTATAAGCGTATTATACGTGTACGAATCAAGAGCAATCCCGGCGCTCTTCATACTCTCCACAAGGCCAACAATCTTACTCCAAGGCATACCCATTTTCCCATACACATTCATAATCACATTATAAGTTATCAAAGTTGGCTGAAAGCCCTCTCCTTCCATTCTATTAAACACCATAACAGCATCTCTATACCTCCCATTACTAGCATAAGCAGTTATCAAAGAAGTATAAGCATAAACATCAAGCTCGAACCCATCTTTCTGAAGACTACTAATCAAAGAAGCCGCCGTCGAAACCCGGCCTTTTTTGCCAAGCATTGTGACAATGACAGCAACAATGGAGCAACTCAAAACCATTTGAAACCCCTCACAATTCCTCAACCACTCGAAAACGCTCAAAGCCAAGTCGCATTTCTTGTAAAACCCTAAACCCTTGATTATGCAAAGAACATCTATGGACAATTGTTGTTGTTGTTGTTGTTGTTGTTGTTGTTGTTGTTGTTGTTGTTCTTGATTCGTATGAGATTGAATAAAGGGAAAAAGGAGGTCGTTGAGATTAGAGGGGTTGAATTTGGGATCGAGTAAGGAGTCGATAATTTGCTGACCTTGAGCGGAGATGGTGGCGTGGTGGGACCAGGGCTTGCCGCGGTTGCCGTCTCGGAGCCGTCCGATGCGGGTGCGGTTTCTCGGGATAGGGGATTGTTGGATGTGGAGATTGTGGGAGAGTTGTGGGGGGTTTTGGGGGTGAAGAAGAAGGTCTTGGAGAAGGGGAGCTATAGCGGATTGTGAAGAAGAAGAAGAAGAAGAAGAAGGAAATAGAGGTTTTGAGGGAGGAGGATTTGGGAGGAGCAGAGGAAGAGCTACTTTCTCCGCCATTACGGAGTATCTTCGTTTCGGGGTTTACAATATCGTGAGAGTTTTTTTTTTTTTTTTTTTTTTTATGGGGGAAGTTAAAGGATTAGGAAAGGAAGAAGATGGTTATCGGGATGACGGCGACGGGGGAGACGTCAGACGTGGCAAAAGATTTTTGAGGTTTTCGTCTTCTAGTGTACACTCGGTCAATTTTTTTCTATAATTTATTTTATATTTATTTATTTTTCGGGTTAAAAGCTGTAAATTTTGTTCTTTTTTTTTAGTAAAGGAGGATTTTTATTAAATTGAAAAAAAAAAATTTTAGGGAATTGAAATAAATTATTACCATGTTGATGAGTTTTGCAGAAATATTAATATGAACATAATAAAATATCTGTTACAACTTACAAGTGATTGGGCGTCTTAAGTATGTGATGCAAGCTTGAATTTTGATTATTCATTTCTAAAATATATATATATATATATCTTTTACAATACTTTTCAAAAAATAATTTATTACAATATACAAAAAAAACTAATTATTATTTCGATTAAGGAACAAAAAAACAAGAATTTAAACTTACAATTCTTTTCAATTCAAGTACACAATTTTATAAAAGATAACAGAATTTCGATTAAGGAATGTAACAACAGAATTTGCAAACGCAATACTACATCTTACTTTTATGGCTAGTAGACTATATTGCATAAAACCATTGCAACTTCACAAATGCGGCAGCATCTTTAAAATTGCATTATAGAAATCTCACTATGCCATCTATCCAAATTCCAACCATACTCTAATTTCTGAAATCCCCATAAGGGCCATAACGATCAAGATTGAAGAATATAGAAGAAATGCTGAGATTCAATTTTAAGTTCTTCAAAGCCTCTCTTGTATTTAAAAATGGTAGCTGGAGGCCTAGATTATACAAATTCTAGCAAACCAGTGCACAAGAGGAAACAAACGCATTGCATCCTAACTCCCCTGCTCGTCAAGAGTGAAAGATAACAAATTTCAGAGAATGCAAGAAGGGGCAGTCATTAATGATATTTGCCAAAGAAACGTTCACTACGTAATAGGGAATTCTGAAACAAAACTCTTACAAAGCTAGTTCTGTAAGAAATACTGTGGCTAATAGCAGTTTTGACTTTATACTAGTATCATTAACCCAAAAAAAACAGCCCTGCATATGAACGATCCGCAAATCAAATTAATTATCCTCACAACTTCTCCATCAAAGAAAGTGGGGAGTAATTAATCCTGCGACTTCGAGAAATCCAACACGATCCCGTCCCTTGAAAATCTTCTTCAGCTTCTCATCACAAATGATGATCCTCTTGTTTTCAGGATCCTATAAAGAGGTCATAAAACACGTTACAAATCTCTATCTTCATATCATGCATATATAAACAATGCAAGTGTCAGTTTACAATTCTAATAACACGATAAAAGCACGATGGTACAACATAATTTCAACAAAAAAGGAGGTTCACTATATTTGACAGTGTCAAAGCTAAGGTTAAAGAAAGTATAATAGACAGAAATATGCTTAGATTGACAACCCAAGATTCTATTTTAACACACTATTGCTACAAGTCTAAGACAGTCATTCACTGCTGAAGAATAGTTTTGTTACATCAATACTAAAGAACTACTGTCAAAACACAATTATTCACACTAATTTCAGTTCCACGAATGTAAATCCTGTTGAAGTTATTGAACATACAACATAGTGCAGAAAAGCACAACTTCAGCAGAGGGCGAGATGGTTGACCAAATTCAAGAACTCTCAGATGGAAAACAGTGGACCATTCACAAATTGAAGGGCTTACCAAAACGCGCAGAGCATAAGAATTGCATATGCAAACGCTAGATATCCACATGAAGATATGGCAAATTCAACACATACATTGCACTGCGGTCATTTGTCTTGTCATTATTTTGACCAATACATAAAAAACTACATACGTTGTCAGGGAAAAACAAAAATAATACAACCACAATCTAAGATTCCAAATAGAGCCAAGCAAATGGATTGCATATCAAACATTCCGCTTGCAAACATACTATCTTTACCGGATAAGCCCGTTCAAAAAGTTAATAAGCCCTCGGCTAAAACTAGAAAAACCAGATTTCATCTCAATAGAGTATAATATAATAATATATTGATCAATAGATTCAATACGACATAGAATCCACTTCATAACCAAGTATAACCAAACTCATCTCAGAAATCCAGACTTCCTCCACCATAATACAGTAGATGAACATTGTTAATAATAACAAGCAAAACAAAAAATCAAAACTTGGACAACGAACCAAAAATATTTTCTTATCCTACAAACTTGGCTCCATTCAGAAATATCCACATACCACAACCTAATGAACAAACATGAACTCATTTTCAAACATAACACAATCCATCCCTAACATACATCAAAAACTCTAACCAAATAACAAAACCCACAAAGAAAAACGCCCGATAAAACATGAAATGACATGTGACAAACAGCCTTATCCAAAAAACAAACGACGAACAGAGTCCACAAACGACCAAAAAACGCAAAACCTATTTCAGAAATCAAAGGGGTTTTCAAAAACCAAAGAAAGATCGGATTTTGACCTGAAGATTGTTCTCCTTAATGTGGGCCCAGATAAGCTTGAGGGCTTGGGTGCGAGAAATCTCGGGAGCGCCGACGAGGGCCTGCATCTCCGGGGAGACTCTGCGGGGCTTCATGATGCCGCGGAGCTCGCCCTTGCTGGTGGAGGAGGCCTGCTTCGAGGCGGTGGCGAGGGTGGGCGTGCGCGACACGCGCAGGTAGAAAGGCCGAGCGGCGGGAAAAGGAACGGAGGGAAACGACGGCGTTTCGGCGGAGAGGAAGGAGGAAGTGGAGGAGATAAGCCCGCTAGAGAGAGCCATGGGATGCTTGCCGTTTGCTGTGCCCGAAGGGAAGGGATAATGTGAGTGTCTGAATACCAGTGACGGGTTTTTTTGTCTAAGCGTGACTGTGGGTGAGAGAGAGATTACTTTTGAACCTGCTGTTAAATCCTGTCGTACTTTTGATTTTCTTTCCGTTTCTATTGAAATTACATTAATATCCTCAATCCTCATTTGCTCTCTTTCGCTTTCCCTCCTTTTCTTCGGGGCATCTTGCTGAATACGGAGAAAAAGAGAATCACCATAAATATCTCTTAAAAATATACGAGTTTTAATTTTTATTATTTATTTTTAATTAATATTATTTTAAAATAAATTACACGAATAGTTGATAAATTCTTTAAAAAATAATAATTTGATCCTTAAACTTTTTTTTTGATGAAACGAACTTTAAATTATTTAAAAAAGTACAGTGTAATTCTTTTCGTCTAAAAAATAACGACACATGAGATATCACGTGGCCCATATTTTAACTGAAAAAATGAAAATGTCCTTAATTACTGTTATCACGCAGCTTCCTTAGAGGATGATCGACATTGCTTCCACCAGCAAACTTGGCCGCTTCGTCGGCGAGTCCTTCCTCAGCCATTTTGCCGGCGTCGCCTTCCAGTCCTTCAACCTCCTGTGGCAAAACCACATCTGCACAGATATCCTCCATTGTCATTGGACCTCGGTCGGAGTTGGAGGCGATTTTGCAGAGATCAACAGCAAGAAAGCATTTTAAAAGAAAGAGAGCGAGAGAGAGAGAGACATGGGACGGAGAGAGAGAAAGCAGATCGGCTAACGACAATCGCTCTTGACGGCGCCGGAGAAGACAAGCACTCTACTTTGCGATCATCGGCAACATTCCTGGAGATCATGGCGATCTCCTCTACCGAATCTGGTTTGAGGTCCCACCGGAGATTGCAGACGATCGGCGGCGGCGACTTCATTTCCAAAGTAAAAGTCGGAAGTGTTGATTGCAACCGTTTGGTGACGTTTGCTGAGAAGACGTTCAAGGAGAAAACTCAAGTAGATTGTGTACGACACCGTCACCAACAACCAGATCGCGAGCCCAAGATTTGGTTCACGTTGGCAAACCGGTTCACAACAATAATGATTGTCGGAGAGATATGAAGATAACTTGCATATTGTTACAAACCCAGACAATCCAAAATCACAATAAAAAGATTAAAAGAAATAATGTCATCCACAGATCAGAGGCAAGGTCTTAAGCTGTTGCGATGTTAGAGTTTGTAGAGATTAATGGTGATAAGAGAGAGAGAAAGAGAGCTAAGCTTTGTATTTTACTAAAATACCCTCTTTAACAAGATCACGTGTCATGCACATGATTAATTATGTTAAAAATGTAAGGAAATTTGACGAAAATGACTACATTGCACCCTTTTAAATTGTTTGGGGTTTGTTTTGTCAAAAAAAAATTGACGACCAAACTATCACCTTTTAAAGAGTTTTAGGATCATTCGTGCAATTTACCTTTCTTTTTAAGTCAAATAACTATATTAACAAAAATGTACTAATAAAAAGTAAGGGATAAAATTCAGACTCGTGCACTTTTATGGATAAGTTCAACCATTTTCTCTTAGGTGAAATTGCGTCTTTTGTTGTCATCCCTTCCGAATTTTTGTGTCCCCCACTTCTCATTTTACCCCATAAGATTTTAAGTCTCGTATTAATGATCTCTAAACATTATAAACATTGCACTTTTGATCATTTCGTCACAAAACTGTTAAAGACTGGATGAAATTTACATGTGAGGTACATATGACACTTTTAATGAGGATAATTTAGTAAAATTATTCTAAAATTTGTCTCAATTTTGGTTCTAAAAATACTAGTGTCTCACTTTGCTCTTAATCTATTGAAAGCAAATTGTGAAGTTAAGCTATTGAAAAAAAGGAATATGAAAGCTTGTTAAATTAGTATTATGAATGTGAAATGTTTTTTAGTATTTTTTTCATGTCAAATACTATCCTACATTTGAATGCTTTACTATAACAATTAAGAAGAAAATAATAATAATATTACACGTTTTTGTCCGCAAATTATATATCCCAAACAAAACAAGTCTAATTCCATTCAAAGATCATTAAATATGCATCAACATAGAACAGGTCTCGTGCATCAACAAATTATGTATCTGAAACAAAACAGGTCAAAATTCCATTCACATTGTTGTCAAAAAATAAAAAATAAAAAATTTCCAGCATCCAATGCTTTAAAAACCAGAATATGACCCCTTGTTGCTCTCTTCATTCTCTGACCAATATTAATTTTAGTAAGTTACCTCCAATTAAAAGTCTGATGTGCGCTTCACATGCAAATTTCATTAATCCTTAACGGTTTTGTGACGTAAAGATAAAAAAAAATGTGCCATTTGTGCAGTACAGGACCATTAGTAACACAAAAATTTAGAGACAAAGTGAGACAATAAATATTCCTCATAAACTAAAATTGAAATTAATCCCTTTACTTTTTGTATTTATAAAATGTACTTTTTTATCCTTTTATTTGTACAAGCTTTTGCTATGGTACTCCGGAAAGGATCCCGCCTACCACGTAATATATAAATTATCTAAAAATCAGAAACATAGCCTAACATTAATTAAATTAAATGTAAAATTAAAAATTTTAGTTATCCAACATTATTTTTGCTCCTTTACAACATCAGATGTTATATTGAATAAATATCATATTATACTTCTAATTTTTATATACTATGTGGAAATACAGTCCTATCTTAATTTTGTTGTTTAAGGTTGTCGCTTGTGGATTTTTCCTCATTGTTTTATTTAGAATACATTTTTCATTTGTTTCTTTAGAAAAAGTGATTAAAAAAAAAAAAATCATCAAAACTATTTCTTGTGCCAGGCATTTGATTTGAGTCTATAAAAGCCTTGCTTTGAATTCCTAAACAAAAAATCTTATTGGTATCTCACAGTATAAGTTGATAATAATGTTATAATGTCATGATTTTTTTGTGTTTACTGTTGATTCCCGATTTTTTTTTTTTTTTTTTTTTTTGCCTGCAAGTTGATTCCCTCAATTAATCAAGTATATTATCATTCGTAAGTCATCTTGATTACCATGGCGATTGGAGACGATTAGTCATTTATATTGACTTCGGCAAGTAATATGGTAAAATATTGATAAATACTTATTACTCCAGCAGCCAACGCAGGCAACCACCGCCAAAAATGATAGGCAATGTGTTAAAAAGGCAACAAAATCTTGAAAATTACTTAGTGGTAATCTACTACATTACTGAAGGACTAGCGTCGATGTCACCGATGGTTACTATTTATTTTGGGGATATAATCTGTTAGATTGCCAATGGTAATTTAGAAGATTATGGTTACTCCAATGCAGGGTCCAATGGGGTAAATTCAGTAGGAACAATTTTGTTGACCGTTGACTGCTCACGTGGAGGGGATGCTCACTTCTAAGAGGGATAGAGTTCTTCTTTCTTACCATCTCTCCTCAAATAATGTTCCCCGTTCAACTAACCTCTTTAGTTCTAGCAAGTTCAATAAACTATTTATTACAAATAATTCATAAACATTGTTTTTCTACTCATATCACTAAAAAACTACTTCGGATCGATAAAAGAAAATGAGATAAATATATCTTAAAATGCATGAGTCTTAAATTTTTACCCTTTATATTTAATTAATACCTTTTAAGATAAAAAATTATATTAATAAAAAAGATATTAATTAATAATAAGTGATAAAAATTTTAAAACAATACATTCTGAATAAGTGATAAAAATCTTAAAATAATATACTCTGAATTCAATAAATATTTTGATCAGATAACACATTCTCCCACCCCGGAGGAACTAATGCCATCAAATATTCTTATAGCGTTATTCTTCCTTGGTACCGATTCTCTGCACCATCGTACTCT